TTAGCGCTTCCCCTTTCTCTTCGCTCGCTCCTCGTACCCTACCCAGAGATCGAGAAAATCTCCCCTGGATTAAAGGAGAGAGCGCGTCTGGGAGCGCGGGAGGCAGCCTGCGGCGCGGCGGCGGCTGCGGCAGATGGGTCACATGCCAGGCGAGCCGCCGCCGCCGCCGGGCACGGGCGCAGGGCAACAGGTCGCATCATCACGTGGCCGACTCGCCGCTGTTTTGGTCAAGCGAGAAGCTCCGTCGCCTCGCGGATCCTTCGCCCCGCTCCTGCGATCCCTGGGCCTACGCACGCACGCACGCACGCACACACGGACATGTGAGTGCACGGACGGACGGACGCGCACAGAGACAAGCACGCGCACACAGGTGGCAGGGCAAGACCATATGACAACTCCATCTGTCACAACTTGCCATGTAAACTACCCTTTCCGTCAAAACGAGTTCTCCGCCCCCCCCCCCCAAGCCCCTCCTCTCCCTCTCTGTCGTGCAGGCGTGAGTCCCCATGGCAATTTCTTGCCATATGGCGAGCAAGGCCTCACGCACGTCCAAGGGCATATGGCCCATGCCCTAAAGGTCAGGCCAAGACGAAGTTGTCATAATGCACAAATCTGACGTAAACTTGGTTTGTTACAGTTATTGATGACAGGGTTGCAAGGATAGTTTTTTTTTTCTCTTTTTTCAAATAATTTTTAGTACCAGGGCGCGCAGTTATGAAATTAAACGTCATAGAAAGCATGAAAACGATAAAAACGGATCCGGCAAAAAGTCCCGTTCTTCACCTTGAAAGCATTAAAAATGGCCGGGTTCGCTCACAAGACTTACGTTCATTATCAGTTAAGATAATTTCGGCATGAGCTGAGGGCGCGTGGTACTTGATAAGAGGGCAGAGGTGAGCGAGTCTTAACCCCCGTCCCCTCCCTCCTTCCCTCCCTCTTTCCCCCTACGCATTACCCTCCCCTCCCTCCCCCTCCCTCTCCCCACCGGTGCAACCTCCTTTGCGACTCAAACGTGGCGAAAATATCCCCTAGATTTTCCCCACGACAGAAAAAAAAACGAAAGCACGAAAAAAAATCTTTCTTAACACAAGGAGATTCCCCTCCATTACCAGCACGAGCACTGGATATTCCATAGCAACAGATCTATGTTACTTAGATTACGAAAGGTCCGATCCAAAAATAAAAAACAGGTTTTTGGGAGATCTAGGAAGAAGACTCGGTAATGGGCATGAAGACAGGGTGCGTGCCGAGGAGGCGTGCCCGCTCCTCAAGATTGTGCCTTCGCGACTTCAAGACAGCACCCGGGATGAAGAGTTTAGGATCTCGAATAGCAGTGATGATCAGGCGATGGAATATCTGCCGGGCGATCCGCGGCATGGTGGCGAGTGTGCATTGTCAGAGCATAATGTATTCTCGCCGTCTAATAATATGTTAACTAAAACAAATACCGCACTTGCATAAGCCTCGGCTCTCGTCCACTAGAGATGCCCGGCGACGGAGGTATGGGCGGCGAACTTCGCACTGCAGGCGGTAATGGTTAAGATAAACTCAACCGCGTGTTATTTGCAAAAGTGATTCGCACGCGTGTGCTAGCGGCGGCGAAAATACAGGCTGGGCCATGAGTGTGCGTGTGCGCGTATGAGTTGAGTGAATTAGTGAGTGAGCTAGTGTGAGTGAGTGTGCGAGTGAGCTAATGAGTGAACGAAAGAATGCGTGCGTGTGCGTGTGTGTGTATAGAGGTGTGTGGAGCCAGGTCTGCCGGTCGGCGTTGGTCCGGTGATGCAACAATGATCGCTTCGGAAATTCCCCGGCTCTGTAAGCAACTTCCGGTCGTGAGCGTCTGTCTGTCACCAACCCAACATGACACTCGCAAGATCGCGTCCTCCTTTCCCGTTAACGGTGTATGGGAGGTCTCTTCTGCGGGAGGGAAGGAAGGAGGGAAGGAGGGTGCGAGGGGAGGGAGGGGATGGGTGGGGGTTAGGGACCTCGCAGCAGGACTCCCGGAGGAGCTCGCCTGCTTGCTGTGTCACGCCGACGCGGTGCCTGGCGAAGGGGCGTCCGTGAGTGGGTAAGATGACGTACAAAGATCACCTTCGTCGGGATTTTCCAAAGTGGGCGTCTGTTGGTCCGTGACATGATGGCGCCACAGCAAAGACCACCCACCTTCCCTCCCGCCCTTCCTTTCCCTCCCTTCCCTTCCTTTCCTCTTCCCCTACCTTTGTCTCTCCTTCCCCTGCCTTCCTCACTCTCACCCTCGTCCTCGCCCCGTCCTTCCCTTCCCCGGGCGGACCTCGCGCTGCTCTCACGCTCCACTCGCTGACCTAAACCTCAAGCATGACTGACCCTTCTCGAACTTCGTCGGTCACCCTCGCTAAAAAACACACGCGAGGAGGGGATTTCAAGGAGTCCAGCGCGTCCTTGCTTTCGTCGAGTCAACATGGCGGCGCTTTGAGGGAACTGTACATATCGCGCCTGTTAGAGGGATAGTGAAATATTGTGGGATTTCCCATGTGCGAGCGCGGCTGCACGCGTCACGTCAGCGGCGACGGCGGCGGCGCGCGGCCACGACGCGCCGTCCCTCGAGGGGCTCGCGCCTCCGCCTCCCCCTCTCCCTTCGCGAATCCTGATACCTGCGCTCTCGAGTCTCACCTCTCTTTGCTTTTGATTCATCGCCGTATAAAAAAGAGTAAATTCTACGTTCTTCTCTGCTGTTTCTGAGAATCTCGAAAGCTTTTCTCGCCTCGCGGTCACGTGACTCATTTCTGCGGCCAGAGGAAACCCCGACCTTATGGCGTGACACCTGACGGCTGACTTTCGCCTGGCGAGAGGTATATCCGCCTCGGCGGCCGCATGACGTCATAACTCACGATTCTCTCTCGCCCTCCGGAAACACTAGGAATAATTTGTATATAAACATGCTGAAACGAATTCTATACAATAGCTGTGTAATTATAGACATTCGCACATCATATAACCGACACTCGCGTACGCTTGCAGCAGGTCCACTCGCTGGCGGAGCAGCACAGGGGGCGTCACCAAGAAAAATAGCTGGGGAAGAAGGAAGGCGAAATAAAAGAAGAGTAAAGAGGTGAAGAGAGAGGAGAGGGAGGGGAGAGGGAGAGGAGAGCAGGAGAGGGAGAGTGGAGAGGGCGAGAGATCGGAGAGAGGGAGAGAGATAGGAGAGAGGAGAGAGAGTTGAGAGAGATGAGAGAGGAGACAGAGGAGAGAGGGAGAGAGAGAGGAGAGAGAGAAGAAGAGAAGACGAGAAGAGAGAGAGAAGGAAAGAACGAGAAGAGAGAGAGACAGAGAGAGGAGAAGCCGGGGGGGCGGAGACTCTGTTAGATCAGGAGAGGGAGACGGGAGGCTGCGGAAGGAGATGCGAGGACGGTGAGAGCTTGAGAGCCAGAGAGGATGCGAAGAGAAGGTGAAGAGAAAGGGAGAAGAGAGGAGAGAGGAGAGGAGAAGGGAGAAGGAGAGGGGGGAGAGGGAGAAGAGAGAAGGGGAAAAAGGGAGAGGATGAGAGAGAGAGGGGGCAAGAAGGGATAACGAAAGCTAAGCAAAGCCATCAGGGGGGGGAAGGTCGTAAGGGAAGCGGCCGTTTATCTCTCCGGGAAACCTCTCCAGGCATGAGATGGGTGAAAATCACGGGCCGACTATCGACATGTAGTGACGATCTTTTGGTCATGGCGACTAATCTCGGATTCTTTTTCTGTTTCTTTCTTTGTTAGCGTGGCTGGAATTATGGAGTTTCTAAATTCACCGATCAAATTAGATTAAAAGGTTTTCATTAGGGATGAGATAGGAAAACACGGGATACTGTCTCGGGTCGGAAGAAGAAGGAAAGGAGCATTTCCCTTAGGTAGGAAACACACGTTCTCGCGGCTCCACTCACAACGCCGGCAATTTGCTTCGGTTAAAGTTCAAATAAATAGTTGGAAACAGCGATTACGTCGGCTCTACCGTTGAATAACACGGTCATTATCTATCATCCTGTTCTCTCGTCGCTGTCTAATCACTTATCCGGCTGGAAATGTCATCTGATAACCGTATAAACATCGACAGAACGATGACATCACGACATTGTTTACATTCCTCACCTATGTCTACACCTGGTCTTAGCCCCTCCCACTTCGGCAGTTCGGGACCTGATTGGCTCACCGTTTCTATGACGTAAGAGTGACGCAATTTTTTATATGACGTCACTGATTAGGTGACTTCAATTTTAGAAAGTGACATAAGGTACGCAAGATTCTCGAAAATTCTGCGTTATCACGGATGAACTTTAGGGTTACATATTTTGGAGAAGGATGAAGGAGAGGCTAATAAAAGTGAGACAGCGATAAGAATAGATGTAGAATATTTGTTAGGAAGTCTTACATCTCACCTGCTCATCATTATTTCCTAAATTTATTGAGCTATGTCTGAGTGTTGAGCGGCCATTTGTTTCCTACGTTTCCCGTGATTCACCTGGAGTAAACTATAGGATTTTTACGTGACCAGAAGAGTTCAATTCATGACTAAGCGTTGAGGGTGGGCCGGAGGGGAAGGGGGGGGGAGAACAAGGGAGAGTGGCAGAAAGTGGGTAGAAAAGAGGAAAAAAGAGCGAGAGAAGAGAAGAAGAGAGAAGAGAAGATAGAAAGGTAGACAGAGGTAAAAGATATATAGATAAGAAGGATAGATAGATAGATAGATAGATAGATAGATAGAGAGAGAAGAGAGAGAGAGAAAGAGAGAGAGAGAAGAGAGAGAGAGAGAGAGAGAGAGAGAGAGAGAGAGAGAGAAAAGAGAAAGAGAAAGAGAAAGAGAAAGAGAAAGAGAAAGAGAAAGAGAAAGAGAAAGAGAAAGAGAGAAAGAGAAAGAGAAAAGAGAAAGAGCGAGAGAGAGAAAGAGAAAGAGAAAGAGAGGAAAAGAGAGAGAGAGAAAAGCAGCAACTTAAACCATACATAACACCCCCCCTTTAAAAAAAGAAAGAAAGAAAAAACGGAGAGGATAACAATGGAAAGAGATTGTCAAATTATGAATAAGTTAACAACCAGGGTCAGAGAGGACACACGAGAGCTGAGAGTCGGATTATTTAGAGAACACCGAATTGTTAAATGGACTTTAAATTATAGATTATACGATTATGCTCTTTTCACTTCATTGGAGACTGGGGGAAGATAAGAAATGGCGTACTCCTCTTCGACCGAGTAATAAACACACGGGTTCTACCTTCATCAAATCTGATTTGAGGTCTATGTTTATTTCATACGAGAAACAGCTGTGCCAATGTCTTGTGCGCATAAAGCTCTTGCAGGTTGTGAGGAATGTGGTATAGAAAAATTATATGGTTAGGGAGTGGAGAAGGATGAATATCGAGAGATGTTAAGTTTTGTGTAATAATAACGTGAGAGTCGTGGATTGTGAGAGAGCTGCATGTGTAGGCACGTTGCAATGGTGGCGATGGCGGTGTTTATTGGTAAACACTAGATATCCACAGCACAGACTCAGAAGGTATAAATTAATAAGATATAGAAATTATAGAGGGAATATAAAGGAAAGGAGATGAATGATAAGTGGACTAACAGAGGAACCAACACTGACGACAAGAGCATTTGATGATATTATTCTGTAATCCATTATTTAACCATGGCAATTTCTTCATAGTCATGTGAACGAGAACGCATTACTCCTAGAACAGTTCCTTTGATCGGATCACACAGGCTATTCTTCATTAGTTAAACTACACACGCTGGTTCCTGAGAGGAGTTAGTAATTCACTATAACTCATCACAACATCCTCTATTTAATTCTCTAGGAAGCATCCATACTATATAATACATAACTGTGTGCTTCATGATGGAAATGGCAAAATACTCGCGTTATGTAATTCCTAAGGCGCACGTAGAAGAGCTTTATATAACTGAGATATCGACGCAGCACAGATACTTCTTCATCATTGTATGATAGCAAAATTATCATAGGACAGATTGAAAACTATATTTATAATATATCCGACTTCACTCAGCTGACTCGAGCCACATCTTGAATTATCATCGGCTATGGCTACGGGTACAAGATGCGAAGTACAACGCAGTCGCGGCTGTCGTGCGTGAAGTTGAGTCAGCCGCGCTGGATGATCAGCAAGGGCATGTGGCGAGGAGAAGAACTCGAGGAGAAGGAGCACAAGATGATAGGTAGGCATATGAATGAGTGGGATATTCAGGTCGTTCGAAAAGCCCTCTCTCTAGAGAGTCGGTTGGAATAGGATATTTTTGGATTATTCATAGTGTCCTGCTTTCTTCCAACCCACTTCGCGCCGGGAGAATCCTACCAACGTGGATGCATTGTCTGCGAGAGGTGACTCGCACCGCACGCATATCGCCATCCGGTGCTATCACTAGGCGCGGAGATGATGGAATGAGCATTACGACAGCACACTCGAGTTCGGCGCGCCGAACTAATCTAGCTATATTATCTTAGCTTATTTCATGCACACTTTCCGCACCGCAAATCAATATTCTCTCGCGCGCGCGCTCGATCTCGTCAGCTCACCCGATCGATCGATATCTGTCGCTATATTCTCATCTCTCTCTCCGTATGCGGGGCGCGTGCGTCCGGTGAGGGCCCTCTCGTCATACTACGTGTCTTGCTTCCTCGAAGGTCACGTCTCTCTCACTTCCTAGTGTTATTAACCCTCTCCTGTTTTCCACGTCTCTTCTCCTCTCTCCGACTCGTTGCATTACCTCTCCCGTATCGCATTACATCACCAGCTTCTGCAAAATGACTCTTTGTCGCAGTTCATCAGAGCAAAATTCATAAAAACGTATCCGACAGCGGCATCGTCACCAATGCACCTGACAGCGGCACTGCCGAGATCGAGAGTTATCGAGATCTGAGAGTCCTAGCGTCCTACTTAATTTCACTTGGCACACTCAGAGCGCCGCATGAGGATTTGGGCTCACGCACAATATACCGCACATGGACACCAGACAGAGCGACGATGGACATGCAAAATATATATCGCATTATGTAACACGTGAATTGAGAAACTCATATTCCTACATATGTAGCACTTCTGTGATTCTGACATACATCAGTGTCTCGGCTTGCAACGCGCTCTCGCACCAGTGGGCGGTCGCGACGCGCCGGCGCACCCCCTTCTGTCCTGCTTCGCCGCCGTCGTTCCAGGTTTTGGTCTTTCCTTTCTCTCCCTCACTCCGTAGCTTTCTCTTCCTGCTGCTTTCTCTCTCTCCGCTTCCTCCTCTCACTTCCCCTCTCTGCTTGTTATCCTAAGAACCTCTGCGCTCATGCGAGCTATTCGCTCCTTCTCTCTCCGATGTGATCTTCTAGTGCGAGTCATTCGATGTAAATCTCTCCCCTCATCTCTCCTCGTTCTTCAAACGGCTCTTTCTCGCACCTTCATGCCACATCTGAGCTGTCTTTCACCCTACTCCTCCCAAGGGCAGTGTCTGCGGGGAATTCTGCAAATCGTCTGTCTTCCTTCGCTGCGCCGCCGCTGCCGCTGCTGCTGCTGCTTCTGCTGACGCTCTGTGGTGTGAGGTCCTTCTGCTTCTGACGGGGTTGGCTGATACTGGACTCACCACAAGCAGCAATAGGAGGCACACTCGAGCCCAACCTGTAAGACAAGGTTGCTTTAGTCCTTTGCTTTCGGGGCGATGTTTGTCTCGCTGGAAACGGTATCAGTACACTACTGTAATAACAGACGCAGGTGGAGCGCCTCGAGGGGGAAAGGAGATAGAAATCCGCCTTTATTAACACTGGTCGCCAAGTCATTGATGGTACAAGAAATGCTACACAAAACAAAGCGACGTCTAGCTTAAGCGTCCCTTCCCATTTGTTCAGAGAAAGAAATGAAAATACCCATCACTCAAACTTTACGCTTTCTTCATGTGTTACTATATGACCATATATGTCACCTACGTAAAAAAAAAATCTAACTACAAGATAAAGCAATGAAATGCGCAGGCGAGGCGAGACACCTTCCGCTCCTCAATCAAACTGGAATTATTCAAAGGTCGGGACATCCGATCGATAAGACGCCCAAACAAAAACAAATCGGTCCCACAAAAGACATCGACAAGAAAACTCATGGGAACGAAGTCCACATCCGCGATAACAAACAAGAAATAGATAAATGCGTGTATCCAGGGTCGAATCCACACATGTCACCAGGCACCAGGAGTGTGTGTGTGTACGCGCGGTGAGTGTGTGTGCGTGCATGTGTATGTGTGGCGTGTGCGGGACGGGACAGCGTGTGGGTGAATCATTCTTTCTTGGAAGCTGTGACCCTGCCTACCACTAACACTTCTCTGCTGCACACACACACACATCACACACACACACACACACACACGGATACACGCGCACAGCCATATAGACATAGATGCTCGTACACATTCACACGAGTACTCGTACATCGATCTGGGTGCCCCCTCGATCACGCTCGCTCGTACACCGGCGCGCACGTACACACGCAACGCAACAACGACACGAACAAATAGACGCCCGGAGACTAATGTGAACAAAAAGTGGTGGCAGTTGTTAATCCACTTTTCTTAGACCTCGAAAACAGTGTGTTGCTTGTTGGTAAACGTTGGAAGCAGCATATGAAAGCAGCGACAGCAACGTTTATAAATCGTCTTGAGGAGCAAATCACTAAATCAATGTCAAAATGAAGGGAGAGAGAGAGAGAGAGAGAGAGAGAGAGAGAGAGAGAGAGAGAGAGAGAGAGAGAGAGAGAGAGAGAGAGAGAGAGAGAGAGAGAGAGAGAGAGAGAGAGACTAGGAAGATAATGGAAGGGAAAGTGGAGGAAATAATTATAAGTAGGAAGAGAAGAAGAAGAAGGAAAAGAAAAGGGAAAACAGTAGAAGATAAAGGATAAACGAAAAGGGAAGAAGAGAATAAAGAGAAGACGAGAAGAAAGAAAGAAAAAGAAGAAACTACGGAGGCAAATCAAAGTGAATAATCCGACAGACCAACCGAGTGCAAGATCCCACGGGAAGGTAGCGTGGCAGACGGTACCAAGAGTGAGTCAGAGCGGAGTTATAAGTTATCTTGGCTCGAAACATCAGTTTAAGCTGTCCCGAAGTTAGAGTATTGGGGTCTGACCGTCCGAGCTGTTACAGGAAGCCTTCATGAGTAATTTCTTTTTATTATGGGCATTTAAGTTGCACTTCTGGGGTTTGCAGCGACACTATGCTTAGGAAGATGAGCCCACGTGGTCTACGAGGAATAATTACATAATGTTACATGAATCTTGTTTGTCCTACATGCACACGCGCGCAAGCAGACAAACAACGTACACGCAAACACGCGCATACTCACAAACATACACATAGGCATACAGAAACGCACACACATGCATGTAAATACACGTACACACGCACACACAAATACACGCAGACGCATTTACATACACACACATTCACAGACACAGACGCACAAGCATTCACGCACACACACGCACATGCATTCCCAGACACACACACACACACATTCCAGACACACACGCACACACATTCACACAGACGCACATGCATCCACAAACACACGCACACACACGCATTCCCAGACACACACAGACACACGCATCCACACAAACACACACACACACACAACCACCCAGCGCGGCGTGAGGAGAGAGAGAGAGAGAGAGAGAGAGAGAGAGAGAGAGAGAGAGAGAGAGAGAGAGAGAGAGAGAGAGAGAGAGAGAGAGAGAGAGAGAGAGAGAGAGAGAGAGGAGAGAGAGAGAGAGCGGCAAACAGACTCCCTCGGCCGCTAAACTCCTCCCACTCTGTTCCGACTTGGTGACCGGTAATGCCAGAAAAGCCCAGATGCCCTCCTTTGCCCTTCCACCCTTCTCTGGCAGCGCCTTACCCTTGAGTGCCCTTCCGACACGCTCTCGCTCGTTCGCCGCCGTCTGGAAGAATGTGCCCGCGCGTGTGTGCGTGCGTGTGTGTGTGTGTGTCTGTGTGGGTATTTTGCATATCAGATCTTACGCTTTCATGTGTATGTTGCTGCGAGTTGATGTACATGCGCGTGTATATATATTATGATACATAAAACGTACGTATTGTATATATTAAATTCAGCATATTTATATCCATGATGTTACAGCTGATAGGACGTGGCAAGAGAAAGAGAGAGAAAAGTAAACGCACGAACGCACGAACGCATCCACACGCTCATAGTATTTTTTCGGTCATAGTGCGAGCCGAGAGGAGAGGAGAAGAGGAGGAGGAGGGGAGGGGAGGGAAGGGAGAGGAGGAGAGGAGAGAGGAGGAGGCTGGCGAGAGTCAGGAGGAGGGGGGGGGGAGAGAGGAGAGGTGGGTGGGCGGGGTGGTGAGGCTGGGAGATGAGATGGGACGGGGGTGGCGGGGCGGAAGGGAGTGGGGTAGAGTGGAAGGGAGTGGAGGGGAAGGGAGGGAGGGAGGGAGGGGGATGCTCACGGGTTCCCTCAACATAACACCACTGTTCCTTCTGAAATCCGATTGCGTCATCTGGTCCACATTATCTCCTCAAGTAATTTATGCATTAGCGGTGCATTTCCGACCCGAAATCTCGCGGACTCTCGCAGCGGAGAGGAGGCCGGACCCTGTCACAATGGGGCGATGGACGGTCGAAATTGAAGGGTGAACTGTTTGAATTATTGGCCGCGAGAGGAAATTGGGTGGTTTTAACGAGCGCATTCCCAGATAATAAAACTCTGATCCCTGATGGAATTATATCTGGTGTGTTGATCACTTATACTTGCGCGCATTTTTTTTTTTTTTTTTTTTTTTTTTTTGCTTTTGTCGGGTGGACGCTGGTTCGTGTGTGTGTGTGTGTGTGTGTGGTGTGTGTGTGTGTGTGTGTGTGTGTGTGTGTGTGTGTGTGTGTGTGTGTGTGTGTGTGTGTGTGTGTGTGTGTCTCTTTCTCTCTCTCTCTCTCGCTCGCTCGCTCTAACCACCAAAACACACACAAACACCACCCTTTGTCCTCCCCCAAACCCGTAATGACACTTTGCAACAATCACTCCGATACCAATGCTCACAATTAGGCACGAAGAGCGCCCCCGCACTCACCCTCGACCGCGATGCCCACACTGAGAGATGATATAACCGCGCAAGGCATGAGATAATGAGAACGTAATTGCGTCAGACGGCGGTCAGAAGTACCACCTTGTGTATGTGTGTTGTCTCGGCGCGCCTTCGTCCCCCGTGCCTCTCCGACACCATGCATACACCAGAACACCAGTCAGGCAGGTCACCTTGACTAAAAATGTTAAATATATGGGCCGCAAAAGCTACAATGGAGGGTCGGGTATAAAAAAGGGAAAGTTTAAAAAAATAGCAAAAAAAAAAAGTTACTCTGTGAGTATAATAACTGCGTTACGAGTCTGTCAATCAAGAATTTTGATACAGGTTACTATTACAGACTACTGGAGACCATGCGTCAAGTTTGGTCTTTATTTTGGCGTATAAACCGCCTACGCATTCAATCTATATACATGCAAGACATACATGCACATACAACCCCATTTCTCTCCCGAGTCCAGCATGCCCGCTGGGAGACCCACGCTCGACGTCCAAAAGCGTCTCTCCACTTAAGACAAATTACGTGTCCTGCACAGTTTTCACCCATCAGTGTTTAAGTCTGGTATCTACATGGGGACGTTTCTGACGGGCCGGAGGATCTCTCTCTCTCTCTCTCTATAATTCTCTCTCTCTCTTTCTCTTTCTCTCTCTCTGTCATGTCATTTCATCTTCGGCACATTAATCACCGGGCTCTGGTCTGCACATCGACCTCCTCACAAGACGAGAGAGAGAGAGAGAGAGAGAGAGAGAGAGGGAGAGAGAGAGAGAGAGAGAGAGAGAGAGAGAAGAGAGAGAGAGAGAGAGAGAGAGGAGAGAGAGAGAGAGAGAGAAGAGAGAGAGAGAGAAGAGAGAGAAAGAGAGAAAAGAGAAGAAAGAAAGAAAGAGAGAGAAAGAGAGAGAGAGAGAGAGAGAAAAAGAGAGAGAGAAAAGAGAGAGAGAGAAAGAGAGAGAGAGAAAGAGAGAGAGAGAGAGAGAGAAAGAGAGAGAGAGAGAGAGAGAGAGAGAGAGAGAGAGAGAGAGAGAGAGAGAGAGAGAGAGAGAGAGAGAGAGAGAGAGAGAGAGAGAGAGAGAGAGACTAAAACGTTTGACTGATAAGACGTCCCGAAATATACTATCAGATGCGGCTTAATTCCACACACCTTATCTCTACGGCACAACTTTGGGAAAATAAAGAAGGAAAAGCCTTTCTTTCCCTCTTTTAGACGTCGCACGTATAAAACCGAGTTTGCAAGTACTTAATTTCGAGGGAATATCAGCTGTGCCAGGGCAATGTACAATGGAAATGAACAATTCGGGTTCCACGTGAGGGCTGTCCTGTTCCTCGCCTAAACCCCCTCCGCTTATGAGTTCCTGTCTCATCTAATAACTATATCAGTTTAGGAATTCGCCCATATCTCATTTAAATATCGAGCTCATCATGACTAACACGATTACGTTAACCCCGCATGAGTGTTTTCCTGTGCCATGTGTATCTCCAAGAATGTACAGGAAGGAAGTGCTATCCCTGTGTGTGTGTTTTTTTCCCCGCCTTCCATCGAGACGTCGCTCATTGCACGCTCGCATAAATGACAACAACACAGTCATCCACAATGCAACCACGGATCGAATAAATAAACAGACAAGAGACTATCCCACAGACACGGCAAGAGAGCGTCTGAGAGATGTCTGTTATCTCCGTACGACGACACGTACCGGCCGCTTGTGACTCCGCCTCACTCGTACCTGTCCCTCACACAGAAACGTTTACAGGTGCACCGTCGCCCTCTCGCCTCTCGTCACACACTTCGATTTATGGATTTACGTTGGCTTTTTGATGCGATGGGCTTCCTTTTGCGAGCATTGTTTGCTGACAAATGCCTACTGCTTGTATATATGAATTTACATACATGTATACGTAGACAAGTGTATGCATACATAAATACATACATACAACCATGCAGGTATATAGATGTATACATAACATACACCTGATTCAAAGCATTTCCACATCAAAACACTAAAGAGCAAGACAATCCGAGGCATTCCCGAGCGAGAAGCGCGTTTTCCTAATGTGAATAACGAGCGACTTCAAGACATCGCACCGCCACCTAACTCTGCCAAACGAACAGCAAATTGTGATCTGATATTAAGAATATTATATAATTGTACTTACCAATAGATTTCCGTAGCAAAGATTTGTTTCTGTAATTTGAGGTAGACACATTTCTCGAACACACATGTGCAACCAGAGATGTGTTGGCGCGAACACACATATTGTCATAGGCACTCATTTCTACGATTTCACTTATAATATACTTTTTATTAAATACACAACACAGTGAGCCACTCAGAATTTGGCTTCACAATATTCCTCCCTCAGTGCTGTCTAGACTCACTATCGAATAGGCTTGTTGTGACTTGAGCTGTGTCTCTGTCATGTATTTAAACCTAACTCGCGCATGACGTCACTGCGCGCGCCGCTCTGGGGGCGGGGCTTATTCATTCATAGAGTGGGGCTGCAATTTACTACAGGTCATCTCGACGTCTCCCTCTAGTGTCGAACTCAGGATTCCCAACATTTACTAATGTAATTCTGACATTCCTACTAATGCAGTCAGGCCGCTTCCCGCCTTAAGGAAATCAGTTATTTTCTCTGGCAACATATGGCGCGCCTTGGCCACCAGAGCTCGGGCTGAACTCACTTGCAGTACAGTTGCAAGGGAGACACCGTGAGGGTGAACTCATGCTCTCCAGAGGCGGACTGTACCATCGTTCATTTCACACGCGGTCGCATTTCAAAACTTGGTCGTGTTCAGCTTGGCACATTGCATCACCTCTCATCAATATTACACAAATTTAGACAAAAACACGAAACGGATTCCAACGTCCATTTTTTATCGGGAGTCATCTCGGGAAGTTGATAAGCGAAATGTAGCTGATAGTGAACATAAATACCTTATGATTTTCTCCCTTTTCAGCTCTACACGTTCCAACATGAACATACATGGCCGTACGTGTGACTACGTCCGCCTATACATCATCCTCTGCTATGATCACGTGGTTTGTAGTTTGAAACCCACATTTTGTTAGATAATTCATTTTCTCAAGAACGATGCGTTAATACAACTTGTAACATACGACTAAACAATCCCGCCAAAGTAGAGAAAAAATGTGATACTCATTTACTTCATCTGTAATATGAATTAGAATCTCATAGCATTAGGAGCTTGCCGTATATGATCAGATATCGTAGAAGAGGGATTTTACATCAGATATTTACTCGAAACGAACAAACGAAAGCAAATTAAAAACGGTTCATTTCAGAGACGGTGGAAATATCCCGTAGACTTTCCACGCGGTGTGGGTGGCCAGGAGAGGAGGGGCAGGGGCTGAGGGGAGATGGAGAGTAGGAGGAGGTGGGAGAAAGGAGGAGAGGTGGGCGGAGGAGGAGTGGGGGAGACGGAGGAGGAGGAGGAGGTGGGGGAGACGGAGGAAGGAGGAGGTGGGGGAGAGGGAGGAGGAGGAGGTGGGGAGACGGAGGAGGAGGAGGTGGGGGAGACGGAGGAGGAGGAGGTGGGGGAGACGGAGGAGGGGGGAGGGGGGGAGGGTGGGAGGAGGAGGAGGAGGAGGTGGGGGAGACGGAGGAGGAGGTGGTGGGGAGACGGAGGAGGAGGAGGTGTGGGGGAGACGGAGGAGAGGAGGAGGTGGGGGAGACGGAGGACGGAGGAGGAGGAGGTGGGGGGAAGACGGGGAGGAGGAGGAGGTGGGGGAGACGGAGGAGGAGGAGGTGGGGGAGACGGAGGAGGAGGAGGTGGGGGAGACGGAGGGGGTAGAGGGGGAGACGAGGAGGTGGGGGAGACGGAGGAGGAGGAGGTGGGGGAGACGGAGGAGGAGGAGGTGGGGGAGACGGAGGAGGAGGAGGTGGGGGAGACGAGAAGGAGGA